TTTCTTGGAGTAGGTACCTAGTCTTCTGATGTAAAGATACTAAAGGTATCTATTGATCTTAATAATAAATAACTGAAATAAAATCTGTAAATATTCTTTTTTCAAAACTTAAACCCCCACCCTAGTTGAACACTGTTTTACAGTGACGTTTAGTTGGAAATGTTACTTTAAAACAGTGTTCAAGGACTTGTTATTAATAGGTATGAGGGATTTTTATATTCGAAAACAAATATAAGAAATTCCATTAATTTTAGGATTGATTATAGAAAACTGTGTTTTCTTCAGGACGGTATTGTTGTCGCTTTCCCCGCTGGTTTGGGAGCGATCGGAGGAGTTGCCCCTACCCCCGTGGAGGTTGCGGAAGCCGCCCCTGTGGTCCCCGGCCCTGTTGTGGTCCCTGCCCCCGTCGTTACCGACCCCCCTGCTTCTTCCTCAAGCCCCCTCGTTCAGATCATCTTGAACGTACAAAATTCCCAGGTAAATATTGCAACAAGTAGCTAATTTTTTAAAATAAAATTATTAGTAATTTGTATTTCACAAATTACTTTTTATCGTTAAAAATTGTTTAATAATTAATTATTTAATGCCACATAAATTGGTTCAACAGGCAAATATAACATCATAAAGGTTTAAGCAGAAAAAAATGATTGGTAGGTATTTGAAGTTATTCTTTTGTTTACAGGACGTCGGCGTTGTTGGCAGCCCTGTCATCCCCAGCCCCATCGTCGTCCCTGGCCCCATCGCCGTTCAACCGATCCCCGGTCCCAACCCCCCCATTGCCGTGCAGCCCATCCCCGTTATCCCTAGCCCCAGCCCCGTTGCCCCCAATCCCATCCCTGGCCCCATCGCCGTTCAGCCAATACCCGTTATCCCTAGCCCCAGCCCTGTTGCCCCCAATCCCATTCCTGGCCCCATCGCCGTTCAGCCCATCCCCGTTATCCCTAGTCCCAGCCCCGTTGCTCCTAATCCCATCCCTAGCCCCATCGCCGTTCAGCCAATCCCTGTCTAAACCACAACTGTACACAAGACCGTGAATCTAATAAATATTTATTCATCAATAAAACCGTTTCTTACTTTTATTTAAAGACGGTCAGTGGAAAATTAAATTTAGGGCAATCCCATCGAAACAGTGTTCTCTCCCGTCGAAACTTTACCAAAACCGCATTTTTGTATTCCGATATTTTTTTATGGAAAATGAGAATGAAAAATAAAGTTAATTATTCAGTTTAAAATATGTTTTATTATTTATTTTCCTGATTATCATGCATCGAAAATAAAGGTGATCTTTGAATCACCTGCAAAAGGATTATGTTGATAATGTGATAGGGGTTTATAATTTAGTACTTTAGATTAAAGGACGTAGCAACCTGGAAAGGGATCGTAACTGTATCAGCTCGAGGCGGTCAGTATTCTTTGTATGAAACTCCATACTGAAATGCACACCTATGCGCACCGTAACGCTCGCGAAAGGCCTCTCTGAGTGTTGATCCCTTTCCGAGTTGATAAGTCTGCTATGACCTTTTTGCAATTCATAAAATAATATGTCTTCTATATCAACATATAAAACACTATTTTGTCTCATTTCACTAAAACAGAAACCAGCATTTAACAGAAAGATAAAATATCGATGGCTCCTACGTATACTGGCGTAAGTGAAAAAAGTAAATTTTACAGGAGAGCCATTTTAGTGGCCAGAACCATATTTTTGGGTCATATCTTCTGACCTACTAAAACGAATTTAATGAAATTTCACATTTAGCCTTAACATGTAATGCTTTTGCTACTGCTGTTATCAATTTTTATATTTTTCTTATATATTTTGAGATTTTACGCATTGCCCTTTTACGTCGGCATATTTCTATAATTTTATGTATATTGTTCAACGTAAAGAGACTTAAATGACAACGTAAATATAATATTTTAAGCGATTACTCTCTTTATTTATGCATGTAATTATTTTAATTGTTATCATGTGCTATATCAATAATAAATCAGTTAGAAAAAGTCGTTTAATGTACCGTTTTACGTTTTAACGCAAATACGCCCATATACTGTGCTCGAGATTTAGTTAGGTCTTTTAACATAATGTGTCATATTTTTAAAAAATATAAATAACTTGAAAAAATCGAATTGCCTAAGGCGGGAATTGAACCCACGATGCCTTAGGCAGTTGGATTTTTTCAAGTTATTTATAATTTTCAAATTAGTTTGAGATGCGACTCTTAACGCTAAAAATTAAATAACTATATAATGTGTCATAATTTATAAATAAAACAATTTGCTAAATATTTTCATGGCTTTATTTAAGATTTGGATTATAAAAAATATATGTTTATGTAAGCAACTACTCGTATAGATTGACGAATCGTATGATTGGGCTTTATACGTGGCGTAGTTTTGCACATACGCCTATTTGCCTAAAATTTTATTTTGTATCTAATGGAAAAAAATTTTTTTTTTCTTACTGATGTTATAGATTAGAGCAAAGTGAAATCATTGCTTAAATAATTGGAAAAAGGCTTAAGCGGCAGTTTCGCCCTTATACGTAGGAGCCATCGATATGTCGTGTCAAACCATTCGGTAGGAGTAACCACAGGTTGTAAAAACTCAGTAAAACTCATTTATTTCTGTAAGTAGGCTTTAAAAAAGCACTTTTACACTTGAACTTGAAACTGTGCATTGACATTGTTCTCACGCCCGTATTCACAAACGATGCTTGCTTAAGGGAAGCAGAAAATCGAACGCACAGCATTGAATAGAGCTCTGTGACTGTGCGGCCACGCGCACTGTGAGACCTCATAGTAGGTAGGTAATGTTTGTGAATACAGGCGTCAATTTTATGACTAAGAAAGTTTATGAATTTGTTAGTTCGGAAGTTATAAATTAAATTATCATTCATTGAGTTCAAGTGAATCGAGTGAATGAGTGATTTGGTTGTCGCATTTAGGGCATGAAATGATTGAATTGATTAAATACAATTTTCATAATTGAGGGATCTAAAACATTTTATGAAGGGTCGTGGGTTCAAATCCCACCAGAGAATTTATTTTTTTAAGTACTAAAAATCTATTTGAATTATTTTTCTAATGAGACGAATAAAACTAACAACTGCCCACTAGACTGGCAGTTTAAAACATTCATTCATCCAATACTGACTGTTATTTACTTCACATGGAATATTCGCTGTAGTCTTCATGCGCGTATAGGTAGGTACATACATTAGGTATAGCAAAATGGTCTGTTGCTTCCTCCCCAGGATGGATTCGAACATGGTAGTTGATAGTAGGTACCTAACTCAAATAAAAAAATAAAATAAAACTCATGAGCTATGATTGATACTCATTGATAGTTTTTTGGTTTTCCGTAATATACCTTCGCATGGGTTGGTAGGTAGGTACATCTGAGGTCATAGTCTTAGTATCACAGCCTTCATGGGTTTTTTAAAACTTCTAGGATGATCAAGTGAAGGTCGCGGAAAGCACCTGGATGTGGGCAGCGCAGGACCGGTCTTTATGGAGTTCCATAATAGAGCCTCCTCCAAGGAATTTAACAACCTTTCTCTAACCGTGGACGTCCTCTGATGGAAACGAAGTCTGTAATTACAAAACTACTCTACAGTCAATTCAATTTGTATCTCACCTGGAAATAGAAACCAAGACCTGCAGATTGAGGGAGCGAGCGGAGTCTAGTCTATTCTCCAAGAATACCACTCGTTCGCACGTTCACCGTTGGAAAGCTAAACAAATTGTAATTCTATAGGTAGGTAGGTTTGATTGATCAATCAAAAACTATATTTTTTATCAAAACAGGCCTCCAATTCAAAAGATTATGTATAACTTAAAAACACATTCACACGTAGCATTAGATAATGTGTTAACATTGCAGTTTGTAACTAACAATAAAATGGATTGTTGTAATCTTTTAAGATTACCACGGCTTAAGTCATCTATGAGAACAGTAAACAAATAATTGTTGGATTTTTTATGGAAAAATAATGATAGGTAAGTACCTACCTACTTACTGTTTCGAAAATAACTAAGATACCTAGTGGTGGCGACCCCTAGGCTCCGTAGAATCAGATAACCGTTGACAATTTATTAAAACTGCCAAGGATGTTCGTTCGTAGGCGTTTATGATACAACAATTGGTTTTGGACACAAATTACGGAATAAATAACAGATGCTATTTGTCGGCCTCTATAGGAAGTAAGTACCTACCTAGGTGTTGATACTTGTTATGGTAAATGATTCAAATTCAAATTCTTTAACTAAGTATTTTACCACTTTATTTTTTGTAGGTAAAATCAACGAGGACAAGATTCTATCTCTAACTCTACACCAAAATTAATTCAGTATTAGGCGTGAAAACGTAACAAACAAATAGACACAGTAATTTGGGCCTTTGAAATATTAGTTCCGATGTGTACCTAACTAAGGAAATAAATATTATGAACCAAAGAAAATAAAACTTACATCAATACAGTAGTAAAATTTGTCGTCACATACGTCACTACGAGTAGTATATTTTATTGCTAATTTATTTTTTATAACTCTTTGATATGATAATTTATGATAGACTTTATCATTTGAGAAACGTTATAAAGCGTTAGTTTCTGCGAAAAACGCAAAGTTTTCGACGAGAGGTAAGACTAACAATACTTATTATTTTGTTAATTATCTAAAAAGACTCGTGATAAATTAACCCCTAAAAATTCAAACAGTGCCATTTAGATTTAATATGAGAGTAGAGTTCGAGTTCGAGTTTTAATATTAACATGCATATGCCCTAATGCCATTGGACTATGTTTTTGGGGACTAGATATCCGTTGTTGTCGTATCAAAGGGTGTTGAATATTGAACACATTGAATCACCGTTCCACTATGACACGTGAAAATGAGTGCGTTCGCCTTTGCACTTACCCGAGATACATTAAAAATAATATTTTATTTTATTCAATAAGTACACATACAGGTTACAGTCAAATAATCATTATTTTTCAGATATAAATCATTATGAAGTTCTTCGCTGTATTCGCGGCCGTGTGCGCCGTCGCCTCTGCCTCCCAGGGCTGGACTCTGCCCCAGCTGTCCAGCGCTGTGAGCAGCCCCATCACCGAAGCTGCCTTCAAGCCCACCCTGGAGCAGGCCTTGAACCACGTTATGGACAACATCTTCTCTGGATTGGAGGTGAAGATGCGCAAAATAGTTTTAACTGAAGCATGCTAAAAAAGAACGCAGAAAATACGTGCAAAATATAATAAAAAGAAAGTTTCAAAACAAGAATGAAAGTAGAAGAACTGTGAAATAAATTCTATTCTCTTTTACCAGGGCCCCATTATAATCCAAACCGCTGCTGGAGTTTCTGGAAACTACAACCTTCATCAGCTTGAAGCCGCTCTCCTCGACCACAGCATCAACCCTGTCTTCGTGCCCCACCTCGAGGAAGCTTTCAACAAGCTGATCAGCGCCGTGTTCGCTGGAGAAGATATTGTAAGTACCTGACTTGTACCTTGATTTTTAAACTCAATGCCCATATACGTAGTCATAGTATTTTTTGACCGCATTTTCACTTGATAATAGTTGTGTAGGTGCAGTCTGACTGAGGTGAATCACCTAAACCTATGCCTGAACAGAACATGAAGTGAAATTGCGGTCATTGGTGTTCAGTGTCTTTTCTTATTTCACGTTTCAACTTTCGCGATTGTTATTTGTGCAAGATTACAGTACCTAACCAACCATGCCTAATTTCTTTCTTTATGAAAGAAGACCTTCTTCATATAATTTTTCATGATAAATTAAAACAACTATATGTCTGCAGCAAACCATCCCCTTGATGGTCCCTGCCCTGGAAATCACCTACATGACCCTGTCCGAGTTGGACGTTGCCTTGTCGAGCCCTGCCACCAACCCCGCCCTGGTGCCTTACCTGGAGCATGCTGGTAACGTGCTCATGTCTGCCCTGTTCGGCGGCCAAGATGTGGTAAGTTTTATTCTAGGCAATTTTAAGTAACCTCTGACTAAGGCAATTTGACTTATTGATAAAATAAACAAACAACTTTAAAAATCTAAGCTTAAAAATATGATTGCTACATTTATTGCAAATAGGACTATTCGGTTTTGAATAAGCCACGATAGCCAAACGATGAAGGGGTCGGACTGGCCGATCCGGGCAACGCGGATTCGGTCCCCGTCTCCGCTTGACACAAGTGACACAAGCATATAAGCATATTTTAGCTTAGTACGAGGGGCTAACGGGAGTTATCTTAAGGTAATCCTAAAAAAAAATATCGATAATTTTCATGACAAGGTACCATCGGCAACAGTGTTACTATCCATTGCCTGTCATGTCGTCTCGTTCTATCGCAAAGAATCGCCATTTGATGAGAGTGGGAGCAAAAATGGAAATGGATAGTTAACAGTGTGGCTGTGTGTACGTTAATCCTATCTATAGTAAGTTATAATAATAATAATGTTACTTAAATACTTTCCTTTTTTCAGGACGGTATTGTTGTCGCCTTCCCCGCTGGTTTGGGAGTAGTCGGTGGTGTTGCCCCCACCCCTGTGGACGTTACCGACGTTGTCCCCGTGGCCCCAATTGTGGTCCCTTCACCCGTCGTGGTTCCTGAAACCGTCGCCCCTGCCCCTGAAGCGTCTGCTTCCAACCCTCTTGTTCAGATCATCTTGAACATCCAGAGATCAGAGGTAAAACTCATTTTATTTGTGAAAGAAAGAAAGAAAAATAATTTATTTTGGTAATTTTTGCAAGCAGGCTTTGAAAAATAACTTTTACACGTCCCAGTAATAACCCTACCACTGCTTCGGGAATCGGGACAATAAATAGGTCAGTGCTTAGAAGAAGTAGCGCAAGAAACTCTATTGTTTGTTTGTGTTTTCTATTTATAATAAGTATGTATTTACAAAAAAAAAAAGTATTTAAGTATGTTTATATCCGTTGTCTAGTACTCATAGTACAAGCTTTGCTTAGTTTGGGACTAGAAGCGCAGTGTAAAATGTCCAAGGATGTTTATTATTATTTATTTCATTTTTTTGTTCACAGGACTTAGACGTTGTTGCCCCCAGCCCCGTTCCCAGCCCCATCGCCGTCCAGCCCGTCCCCGAAATCACCCCTGGCCCCATCAACATTGTTGAGCAGCCTGCCATCGTTGAGCCCGTCGAGATTGTCCAGGGCCCCGCTAACCCGATCGACGCCATCCTTCTGCCCATTGAGGCTCTTCTCCCCACCCCTGAGGTTGCTCTCGCCCCCATGGTCTAATGCTACAAAGATCTTCATAAAATAATTACCCTTAGTAAAATTGTTGGGGCAATCTCAACGAATATCTCCGTCAAAACTCGCGTAACACCCTGAATACATCTCTGCTCTCACTGATGAGACCTACCTGCCTGATGTACCCTAAAGATGATTAAAATAAACCAAATACATAAGTAATAATGAAGTTTTATTAATTTATTTTCCTAACTTATTTATTTTTCCACACCCAACTATTTTTAACAGGTCTGAACCAAATACTTATATTATTTTATGTCTTATTAGGTAATTTATTGTAAATAGAGTGAATTCAATCAGAAAAACAGGAAATAGATCACTACTACTTAATTTCTCGGAATTACATAAATACTAGACGATTTCCTTATATGATTCAGAGGTAAAATAATTTCTTCAAAAACTAAACAAAACAATAAACCAAAAATGATACTCGTATCTGTGGATAAGATAGACCACACCGATTCATCAACACTACGATGCGAAAGTTATCAAATATTTTGTACAAATGAAAACTTCGTTCAGAAATAATATTACTTAAAGGTATGTTCACAATGCTTCGGGTCGTTAGGAAAGCGCGATATTTATGAGACCGCGAAGATATCTGGGAATACGGAGTTACTGGGAATACTTAAAAATAATATAATTTTCTAACACCAATAAATACCAAAATAACAATGTATAAAGAAGTTAAGAAGTTTATAAGCGATCTCTCTAGATCTGGCGGTCCTAGTTTTGTTCCCAGGTAGGACACAAGTGGAAGAAGAGATAGCCTGCCTGAAATCCCGAGAAAAATGACCATACTTTAGAGGCCACGTAAAGGAAATCCGATTAAGCCATACGCGTTGATGAATCAATATCACTCACGGAGGAGTGAGCTAAAACACTGTTGAGTTTTTTGAAAAATGGGATAAAAAATCTCATACACAAATCGAACGCCCCGCGCACGCAACGTAAAAATGTGAACATACCTTTATAGGCAGACACTTGCATTTTTATCAAAATGAGGTCATGCGAAAATCTTGGTGTGAACATGACAAATGCGGTTCCATTATCAGTGGTCGTGGCAAGTTTGGTATCAGTCCGTGATTTATAAGTTCCCACAGCATAGGCTTGACGTTAGTCTTAATTTAGCACTGTACCTACACCCGTGGGAGTAGTTACAAAAGTTAGAGTGAGTATAAGGAGACGAAACATGAAGTTTTTCTTGTGGGGTGTTTTTGTTTGTGCTGTGTCGTGCAGGTAGAGTTTTAATTCGTTAATTTATACAAAGTTTTCAAGTATCTAGGTACCTAGCAATCTTTTAAGTTGCGTATATTATTACTAGTCACACTCATATGCCCGCTACTTCGTATGCGTGAAAACCCGTTTTCGCAAAATTTTTCAATTTTGCTCTGCACCTATTACTCGAAGCGTGATGGTATTATAGCATATAGCCTTCCTCGATAAATGGGCTATCTAACACTGAAAGAATTTTTCAAATCGGACCGGTAGTTCCTGAGATTTATTTATTTATTTATACTTCAATGCCAAAAATATTAACATTAGGCGAACTTAATGCCATAAGGCATTGAGATTAGCGCGTTCAAGTAAACAAACAAACAAACTTCAGCTTTATAATATTAGTATAGATTGCCATTTTTTTATTCATGTAACTCAATATGTGAATGTCTGTTACGGATTAGGCTTTTTCATCATGAATGTTGTTTACGTAGAGTTTTTATTACACCGAGCTGACTATCTCTAGATTAAATTATCCCAATCAATAAATGTTTGTTTGATAGTGTAGTTTCTGTGTGATAGTTAATGGTTTTATAAAAAAAAGAATTTGCTCAATAAATAGTAATTTTAGATACCGTTGAAACTAGATAGAGAAGGCTACATAGCAAATAAACAGACAGGCTCGACTTTAGTATTTTAAAAAATAACTAAGGATGGACTCTTAATACTTGTGTCAGTATTAGGTCTCCGCTTCGCTCGGCCATTTGCTTAAAACCATATTATTTACTTTGGCAATCGGCGAAGCATATACCGTTATTGATAAAACAAGATAATAACATTTCGGACGGCTATCTTATCGGTTATGGTGCTTTGTTGTTTTAGATGGGCGAGTCATGTTAGTACCATAAATCAATAGCTAATATAGATATTGACGTTCTAAACGACTTCAATAAAGTTAGAGGTTTTAAAAACTCTACTTTCAGATTAGTTAAACAAATACCTACTCCAGTTCAGTAGTTTAATTTTGAATACATCTTTAATCGTACATCATGTGTGTTGCTTAGGGTTTTCTGTGTCTACATCCTCATCCAACTGTTGACTTTTCATTATCATCATCATAAAACAAATAATTTAAATTGCTACAATTACAGCACCTAATCTCAAGTGTTGTCCACAGCAGAATAACCATGGCCGTCCCAACAGTAACCATCGACGAGCTGTCCAAGGCATATACGGACGCCACCATCAACTCGGCCCCAAAGACGGTCCTCGAAGGGATCCTGAACGATTACATGGACCTCCAGTACGGCAAAGAGACCCCTTATACGACTGGCAAGCAGGTCCTGCCTTCTGGGTCTACCATCGAGCAAGTAGACGCGGCAGCAACTGATGATACAGTGGAGAAGAAATTCAAGGATATTTTCAAGAAAATCTCTGATACATATAAGAGTGGTGACCTGACGCCTCAGTCCCCTGTCGATGGGTGGGACCCTAAGTTCAGACCCGTTTTAGTTGTAGTTACACCTAATAAGTTGTAATTTAATGTATAATTAAGCTATGTACTGATGTTGTTGAGATCTTTTCAGTATTAATTTTAGATACTATAAATTAATAAAAATAATTAAGTCATACAATCATCTGTTTTTCAATTTATGATCGTTACAAATTACAATTTACAAAATAATATGAAGTTATATGAAAGTAAATTCTAGGTAGGTAGGTACATTGTTAATATCATAACAAACTGAGTTACACCAATTAGAATTTTAAGTCCAAAAATAACGAATTAAAACTAACATCTACTACCGATATTATTGTTTATTATAATCATATCTAAAACTCAATCCAAATTGTAGATATAATGTAATCTATTAGATACGTAGAGAACATCAACCCCGTAAAAAATAATTTTCCTCAATTGAGTTTGAATCTTATTGTAAAGATTTTACAGTTTAAAAGTCCGTTCATATTTTTGGTAGTCTGCTGACGTCTTCATCGCAATAAAATAATTGAATTTTAAAGTCCAGTCGTGATCGCAGCACGTTTCTGTAAACGTGTTAAAAACCTTTTTGATTACGAGTTCATTATAATTTACTAAATAATTCCTGCTTCTTCGCCTGAAGATTATGGCTGAGTTGCATCACCTATATTTGACGATGACCGGTGTTTTTTGTATGGAGTTTGACAGATTTTTGACGTTTGTCAAAGTTAAAGTTAGATGGTGCAACCCACCCTATTTTAACCAATTTACGACACGACTTCATTTATTGCTAGATCCCTCTATGCCATAGGTTCAGAACTCGTAAAGCTTTTATAAAGCGCTGAAGCTGAAAACCACTGAAAATCAGCGACATCTATCAGCAACTGAAAGAAATTGCTATGCAGAGCTCGTCGTTTGTGACATTAGACGATAAGTTAGTTCTGTTTTCCAAAACAGATGACGCGATCAGTTCGTTATAAAGGAAAGTGAAAATATTAAATGTTTGAGTCCTTGAAAATATAAAAGAGCAGGTATACATGCACAGACAGACTCTACATTTGTGGATATCGACTCCACTACAGGATTTACCGGAATTACCGGAGGCAAATGGAGATTGTGACCTAGACTCGGGTCGGTGGACAGGCGGGTTGGGGAGGCCTGATGTTAGCAAAGGACATCATCCATTTTGGTCCAAAATCAAAAGTGCCGGCCAAAAAACAAAAGTGCTGTATTCTGACAGAATACGTCCGCCTTAGCACTTTTTACTATGGCACCAAAGCTGTAGCACCACTGTGCGTCGAGTATCGAGAGATCTCAAATACTTTTTGGACCAAAAACATATGAAACGTGGATGATGTCCTTTCTCCCATAGAATTTATTCTTACGATAACCACGCGAAGTGTGGTAAAAATTAATTTAATTAGAAGTTTGTTGATTTATTTACACAGTTTTATTGTATGTTTAACACAGCAGCTGCATTAAAAACGTTTGAAATATCAATAACTAATATTATTGTAGTGACATAAACTTCAATAACTTTTATAATTCTTGATAATTTATTGATAACCATGAGCTACTTGTGTTTATATTTCAAATCAAGACATCAAAAGAATAATTCCGAGAAAACTGGAATTAATGCCATGCCATTCGACAAAGTTCCCGGTTGTAAATTTTTATTACACGAAAACATTATGCCTACCTATAAGTTGGACTCGAATTCAAATGACTCTAGTGTTTAATAAAAATCCACTCGATAGAAGAAGAATGCTCTTAATTTTTTCACCCGGCTGCGCCAGAAAGGTGGGTTATGGTTTTTAAATATGCGAATAACTTATTAATCTTTTCTCCATCATAAAAAACAATTCACAAAACAATCAGTAGTATTACCAAATCTTTTAAGACATTTTGGCTACAACCAAGACAATGAAAGAAATAACATCATCATTCTGTGCTTAGCGAATCGTAAAAGCTTCGGGCTTAACAGCATCATAAAGCTCGTATTGTGCTTTTGCGAATATTATAAAACTATACGAGATTACCCCGGAGCTTGTGTTCAATGTATTTTATAGCTATTTGCAAAAGACTTTATAGAAGTTTGTATTTGAAGTTGTTTGAAATCCATCACGTTATTTAATAAATAGAGAGATTGACGTTGCAGGCAGTTATTCGTTGAAATGTTTCAAGTGGAAAAGAAAATAATATCATGGCGATCGATTCCAGGAAATAACCTTCCATCAAGCACCAAGACTACCCTTTACTTTGTCAAAATTACGTACTAAGGCTGGGTTGCACCATCTTTGAAAAACGTCAAAAATCTGTCAAACTCCATACAAAAAACACCGGTTATCGTCATAGTTACGGTCAAAGTTAGGTGGTGCAACTCAGCCTTAGTATTTCTCCTTCTATAGCCATTCGACGACAAAAATTCACTCAGCTCTGAGTTCTTAAGTGAATTAAATGAAGCGTTTTTCTTTTTAACCAACTTCAAAAAAGGAAGAGGTTATCAGATTCTTATAATGTTCATCATACTAACTGGGAGAGACTCGAGACGGATCGATTAAGTATAAGTAGCACACTGTTACCTATCCTCATCTTAAGTTTAGTACAGTTTAAATCAGGTTGGGTCGAGTAAGATAGTTTATAGAATCTGTAGCCTGTAGACAACGATTCTTTTATGGCGTTTACATAGACTGCCCGCTGTCTGTCTCTAATGGACAGTTCCTCTGTCTATCCTTATAGACAGAGGAACTGTCCATTATAGATGAGGATTAATTATAGAGGAATAGCCCATTGGCTATTCCCTCTTTCCCACCTCTCGATTTTGCAGCTGCAACTCTTGTAATCCACCAGAATATTTGGCCTCCAAAGAAACTTATCCAGTGAAGTTTTTTTAATAATTGTTTTCTGCAAGATATAATCAGTTGCAAGCAATGTGAGTCAGTCTAATAAAATTATGTACTGTTTTTTATGCTACAACTTGGACGAGTACCTATTAAAAACATTTTCCGAAATTAATCCCAATGTTAAGCTTTTCCAGTGCTTGCTGTGCTTCACTATAATACAACATAATATTATTAAGCACTTTACAAATTAAAACTCATGGTAATTGCATTAAAAGTGGTTGTTGTTGTTAGTTCTTTGTTGAATAAATTTTAATTTATTATTTGATAATATACGTTATTGTTGTAATAAATACGAAGTCTGATATCTTTATCTTGCGATACCGATTAATGTTTTACAACTTTAATTTACAACTAAAACGTTTATGATACGAAGAAATTATCTTACTGAGGAAGTTGGTAGATACCGTCGATTGCATATTTATTACGCTAATTTATTGCTGGATTATCGAAATCCTGTTAATAGTTATTCGTAATCCACTCTATCACGTAGTTCGGCAATGATATTTTAACTTTCGTTAGATAATTTCATAGTAGCATATTGCTTGAAGCCTTTGTGAAGAGCGCAGGTGAGTCTGACAATTCTATTTTGTCTTTGAAAGCCATCAAATTGACAGAATGTATGTAAACAAAGCGAGAATTTATACAGAATGTTCTCCTCGATTATTGAGCTTTTCTTACGAGCAGTTTAGAAAGTTGTGCAATTTTGTTTTAGGTTAGCAAAAATGAAATTCCTAGTGTTGGCTCTCTTCGTCGCGGCCGCCGTTGCCGTCCCAATCCCTGAAGACAACGGTGATGCAGTCGAGCTGATCGTCAATGGCGTGCCCGAAGGAGCAGCCCTAGAGCTGGGCGGGATTGTGGACATGCAACTGAATGAACACGTCGACGGACAACTGGCTTCCTCTACCAACTTGCTGTATCCCTTGACCGCTGTAGGCATCGCTGAAGCCGCCGCCGCCGCCGCTGAAGTGGCTGCTGCCGAGGAAATTGCTCCCACCCCCATCCAAATCGCTGATGCCGCCGAACCCGAATCTGACTTCCATAATGTCCCTGAAACCATCATCCTCCCCGAGCCCGCTGAGGTTGTTCCCGCTCCTATCGTCATGCCTGAGCCTGTGATCCCCGTAGTGGTCCCTGAACCCATCGTCATGCCTGAGCCCGTCGTCCCCGAAGTCGTGCCTGAGTCCATCGTGATGCCTGCACCGGTTGCCCCTGAAGTGGTGCCAGAATCGATTGTCATGCCTGAGCCTGTTGCCCCCGAGGTGGTGCCAGAATCTATCGTCATGCCTGAGCCTGTTGTCCCTGAAGTGGTTCCTGAAGTTGCTGAGCCGGTCCCCGAGCCCGCTGCCCAAATCCCTGGAGAGATCTTCAACAACGGACTCGTCCAAGTCCAGGTTAACGCCCCCGAAGACGCTGGTATGTTCTCGACCCTCCAGAACTGGTTCAGCCTGGTCGTCAACTACATCAGCAGCGGCATCCAGACCTCTCAGCAGATCGTTTAAGTTTCATTAAGAATGTACTTTCAAATGTTTTGTAATCTTTAACGTAAGTTAGATAAGTCGTTTGAAAGTAAATATTTTAGAAATCTTTGTATTTTTTTTCATGGACGAAAATCAATTTCTAATCTCTATATTATTGTAGTTTGTACCTTAAAGAATTTTCTGATGGGAGTAAAAGCTAAAGCTTTACTTTTTTATGCAGAACAAGACAAGTATTTGACAGCAATCACACCTGATGATAAGTGAAATGCAGTCTAAGGACTGAGATAGAGTGACCATGCCACGTAGTACCTTATTTAAGTACGTTCTTTCGCATGTTGTTCAGTGCTACAGTTTTAAATAAAAGAACAAATTGTTTAACTCCATAATTAGTCAAATATCCTAGAAGGGAAGTAAACTTGTTTACCAGCAAGAGACTCTCTTCATAGTTGACACGCCATAAACCTAGCGCCGTCATACGGTAATGGGACGGCAGACGCGTCGATCTAATAAACTACCCGCAACACTTGGCGCAAACAACTCGCCAAGTTGAGTTACTTAGCTCGTTAGCGCGGACTTTGCTTAGACCCAGTTGCAGTAGAGTGACCAGCTGGTAGTTTTGGAACTACCACTAAGAAAATTCTTATTTAAGGTACCCTTTGACTATTAGGACCCCTTTCAAAAATTGGTGGAGGCATGAATTCTAAAATTTGTCATCCTTTATTTAGTGCTGTAAGTAAATAACTTCCTTAGGTAATGGGATCAAAAATACAATTCCAGCACAGTACGGTAAAAACCCGAGATAAGTTCCTATTAGTTTAGTCATGAAATGTCATAAAATAAAAGGCCTAACAAAAGGTCTAACGAAGTAATATTCGTGCTCAAAAGAAAAAAGCCAATTCTCACTTATTTGTGATAGAGTTTTGAGCTATCACTGGTTTCTAAGTTCGGTAAGCCTTGCCAAACTTAGATAACCTACTTATGCCCTTCTCGCAGGTCAAATCTATATCTAGACCAAAATCCTTGATATTGGTAAAGCAGTTTACCTAAACGTGACATACCCAAGTAACATTTTACTCCATTTAAGAGTTCACATTTAGTTCCAATGTGTACTTAAAGCATTAGTACAGTTCACTCGTGATGTATAAGCTGTATTATTGCAATTAATTACACCTATACCTGTCTAAGGGACTTATAGGAGTGTAGACTAGTGTAGAGTTATACTTTTATACGATTCTTGGTGTTATAATACTCTAACAACTATCCTTTAGTCAGCCATCTGACTAAGAGCATTATAGGAGGGTAGAGATACGGCAACCGCTGTTTAACGGCCTACTTGTACGATGTTATAGAGCTAGCATTTTAATAGAACACACGTGGTCATTTATAAAGCCAAAGGCTGTTATGTTTACTTGTTTTAGACTGTTATACAGCTAGTAGCTGTAGTAGGACTTGTTTGTGTTAATAAAATAACCTTTTTTTACTATCTGTACAAAAGTGTTTCAATGGTTCGCATGCGCACTGTAGGCTGTTAAAAGGACTATATGTGTTGTCCATTAACATCAATAGCAGTTTATTTGTCCACAAGTACTACTCTTATTTATAGGAGGGTAGAGATACGGCAACCGCTGTTTAACGGCCTACTTGTACGATGTTATAGAGCTAGCATTTTAATAGAACACACGTGGTCATTTATAAAGCCAAAGGCTGTTATGTTTACTTGTTTTAGACTGTTATACAGCTAGTAGCTGTAGTAGGACTTGTTTGTGTTAATAAAATAACCTTTTTTTACTATCTGTACAAAAGTGTTTCAATGGTTCGCATGTGCACTGTAGGCTGTTAAAAGGACTATATGTGTTGTCCATTAACATCAATAGCAGTTTATTTGTCCACAAGTACTACTCTTATTTGCTTTAAGCTGAAAATGAATGTGAATGTGATATTCTATTACACTTTTCCCCAAGCCTGTTTTTAGTTGTATTTATGGTGGTTCTGTACATGATGCAGAGGAAAATATTATGCCTGAACCTGAAAGTTCCCTTCAAAATATACCAGATATCAGAGTGTGATGATTGCAGTTCTAGTGATATTGAATACAATTTTGATTTAGACAATTATTTAACCTTTAGCAAAAAAATAAGAACATGGGCTATTGAAAATCGTATTCCTCATTCCGCTTTGAATAAATTGTCAGGCATAATAAACGAATTTAAACCGGGAACACTACCGTCTGATGCTTTAGGTATTCATACTTGACTATTAGTACCTGGGCTAGGCGATTTAACGGACATCAATAATTTTTATTGAGGATCTCTAAAATTTCAGTATTTGAAAGAATTAAAGATACACAATTGACCTGAACTAGGCCTACATCTTAAAGCTGTACATAAGTTCACATTAGAATAAAGGATGATGGGCACTTTTCTATGGAATCTGGGCGTAAAACCAACAGAAATGTAACTACTATTATTTGTTAGGACTTAATATCAGAACTATATTTTCATATAAATAACTACCAAAAACTCCCGGGTTTGCTTGGAAATTGACATAATGTGTAATAGTAATAGGTGCTTTATAGCGCAAACAAAAAATATTATTAATTAATATACTTATCTACTTACATTTTAAATACATTAAGTTATTTATCCATTATTATGTCCAACAGTTCAGGAGTGGGGCCAACAAATGGTATATTTAAACCATGTTCTACATTATAAGCGTAGGACCATACCCAGGTACCATTTAGAGAAATGACATGAACACAGTCATTTTTCAATGGGATTTCTACCAGTTAAGTTGTAGTGTTGTCGCATAATCGATCACGGATCGATTATTACTCGATATTGTCAAATAACGATTTATCGATTAACAATTCGATTAATCGATTTTGTTGATTACCTTCATTACTATAATTTTATTGTTAATTCAATTCCTTATTTTCAGCAATATAATCGATTATTGCAATCGAATAATCGATTCTGAATTATTCGGTATACATACTTACTAAATCGATAGAATCGATAGTAAGATATGATACAATACTCTCAATATGATCGATAAAAGCAATCTAATTGACCTAATATTATTTTCATTACCCTAATGTGATGTGAAATACTATGGAAACTTTGCATATTCAACGACCTCTATCTCGGTATCCCCGCGTATTACAGGGTTGTTGTCATACAATGAAATGAAGTACTAGTACTAAGCTTTAATTTAGTATACTTTTTGTTTCTGTTGGTTTAACGCCCAATTTGCCCATCATCCTTTTAATTACCGTAGTATAATTATAATGCCAATACAATATCAAAAACTGAAAATTGTAGATTTCCTCTCAGCCAGTTTTAAATATTTTAAAATGAATATCGCGTTTTTACAGAGGCGCGTAAATATTTTAGCTGTAAATATGTATACATTTCACGATAAAGTTGCATTCCCAATGGCATTAACATTATTAAGTATTTAAAACCCGTGTTATTATTTGCATAAATGATTATATTATCCGCCCGAGTTGTTTCCTCTTGGCACTCACGTACAAATACCAAACTAATATTAAAATGTGGAAATAATTTAGGACACACGTGAACTTTATGTAGCATTGGAGTACTTTTGTCGGACTTTATAACTTTGAAAGCTGTGCATTTAGCCACTTGTTACTCTTTATTGTCCTCACGTACGTTGTATGGTTCACACTGCGTCCCATATAGTGCCGTAAGTCAGCCTTAAGTACGATGTTACTACTTAAACTGCTATTATAATGCTATTATACTGCTAATGTACAGCCATAGTGAACCTAAAGCTGTCTAATTTGTGCCCAAACTGGTTCTATAAAAGCATTATAGCAAGCTATACAGCTCGTATACAGCTGACATACACAGCTTGTGGAGTACATGTGAACGACTATTGAACTCTTAAATGGAGTAAAATGTTACTTGGGATACAGACGGATTTGTTTTCTAATAAATTGTAGTTATGTCCATAAGCATTGTATAGTGGGGTTACCCTTGCAAAACCGTCCGGCCCCGTTTGTAGAGTGAGCAAGTTTTGCCGATCTGCTATTTCGAAGCGAGCTGTTTTCCTTAGCTATTTGCACAGAGGACCAATCAATTAAAACAAAGCTAAGTCTTTACCCAGTTTTATGTGTTTTTCAGACAGCAGCAGTTATTCAATTGTATGCTGAAAGTTGTTTTATTATAAAGATTTCCTGTTGATGTCATTGTGATCTAATATTTTAACACTTGTGTGTTTATTCGCGATAATCTCAAAAACTACTGATCAGATTTTCATGCAGTTTTCATTGACCTATACAATGTGTCAAGAAGTGAATGATAGGATAGTTTTTAAATCCCGATTTTTAAAGTGGGACGCGCACAATAAAGTCTTTCTGTTATATGTCGATATTCATGCGGGAGAAGCCACGGGCAAAAACTAGTTTCAATTATTTAAATTAAAATTAACTACATTTTTCCAGTTCTAGTCTAGATTACAAAACAACAAAGCGCTTGCACGTTCACAGACCAGTGATTGAAAAGTGTAATAGAATGAAAGCCAATTTGAATGCAAATATTTTGAATTGATTGGCCGATTTTACGGAACCGATGTGTGAGTATTTGGTTTCCCACGAATCGGGACTTCATCGTTTCCGAGAATTTTCCTTCATTTCCTGGAAACAACAGCTATCTAGATAATAAAGGGATTGCATCCAGTAGTGCCACTGCAGTAGCGTACCTATGTGAAAAGGTTGTTATTATTAAAGGTTAGGTACTTATGTAGCTATAAATTGAGTGATAGAGTGTATGATAAGTATTAAATATTATGCTAGGTGTGCTTGGACCTCATTAGTTTAGCTCCCAGTTGTTACAAGGTAAGGTATCATAAAATATTATTTCATATACAATATGCTGTAAAAGATAAAGTTACTTCCGCTACTGAATGAACCATTTGGTATTTTTAACCCTAATCGTGTATCTGTGTAGATATCCTGAAAATGACGTAAAGTTTTGCGCTTTTTTTGCTTAGACCACTTACTTGAGAAATAATTAAATCCCCCAATAGATTTTCAACAACATACTATATTCTACGGCGCGGTTTAGTCGTGAAATCGTACCAGA